ATTCATGAGAAAATGAATGCATATTTATCACCAAAGGAAATTATAGGACAAAACTCACAAGAAACTCAAATCAAGTAACCCTAAGTCCCTAAATGAAACTCAGAGAAAATGACATTAAAATAAATGATTGCCTGCATCACTCAAGAGACTTCTTTAAATTCCCTACTCTGTCTCTACACTGTATCTCTAAAGAGCAGACCCTCAAGAGGAATTACTGAATAGTTAAAAATATTCTTATTGAGTTATTTTTTTACCTAAGATTTTGCCCAAATCTTTTAGAAACACACAAAAAAGTTATTGTCAGAAGAAACTTACCTAATTAAAGTTTTCCAGAAAACGGAATTAGATTCAATGATAATATGAAAGACTGTTGCTAGGACAAATGAGTTCCTTTCTTAATTTGGTCATTATCTTGTGATAAAGGAATGATCTGTGGATATTAAATTTTGTTGGAATTAAAATAAGATGCTTTTCTCACTTAATTTTAACAAATACAAAACCAAATTTCTTCAGAGGGATAGAGAAATCACTTTTCTAGAAAACAGAACATCCTGCAATATGGCAAAATGAGCCCATGCTTTATGAAAGCCCTTCTTCTTCAGACACAGCCATCACAGAAAAACAGGGAACCGAAGAGGCACCCTGGAGTTCTAAACAAGGTAAATCCCACTGTTGACCAGAAATGCAATAGAGGCACATGCTGTTAGAACTACGCACTTCATTCTTCTCTCTCCTATCAATTTGTGAGTTTTTTAAAAGAGGAATTTTGTTAAAATGGTTAATCTTCTATGCACAACACTGTGCTGATAAATTTATGTTACATGTACAATCTAGTGACTATACAGATGTATTGATCTATTTTTTATACAACAATAGAAAAGTATTATTCAAGGTTTATTGTTACAAAAATGAGACTGCACATTTTAAAACAGAATTACGTTTAGTAGAAAAATGTGATTTATGTACACCATATAACAATGTATTATCTTAGATCAAAATGGAAAATGTAAACTTGCCTTGCAAAAGAAAGCAAATCTATCTTTTTAGATTTATATATAGCCTAGAAAACAGAAAAGTTTTTCCTGTTAAGATCTTAAGTAAGTCTAAATTTAGGTTAATTAATCCAAGGTAACAAAACAGGACCCCAGCTTCACAACAGACGCTAGGCAGCTTAATTTATGTGTAAAGAATGTTTTTTAGACCACAAGTTGACTCTAAGAGGTTAAGTGGTTTATTTTGGATTATTGAAATAATTTATTTCAATAAATGGCAACTCAAGAAACTACTTCTCTAAAAGCTCATGCCTTTTGTGATCTAGTTTAAAAATAAACTTTCCAAAATAGTACAAAATCCTATTGCCTTAAATCCTATAGCATTATAGTCCGTAAACTTGAATTGCTATTATTATAGCCATTTTGAGGATTAAATGAGATAATGAATTTCTTCAAAGCATTTGGCAACATAATAGAATCTCCAAAAAGTGGCAGCTATTATTGCTGTTAGTATGACTATGTTTGAATTGAATACATGGGGATGTTAGTTCCCATGTTCTCTGTTTCTATAACTTGAGCCCACTGCTTATTTCTGTAAAGTTTCACTGGAGCACAACCACACCGAGACCACACTCACGTTTTGTACAACAATGGTGGATTTAGCAGAGACAGAGGCTGGGTGGTTTGCAAACCCTAAAATGTTTCCTATCTGGCTTTTTAGGCAAGTTTGCTCACCTCTGGCCTCAACTCAAGCCATCTTAATAAACTTTTTAAAGAGAGAGTATTTTATTAAAAAGTGAGGGATTAAAATGATGAATCCATACTCATTTGAAACAAATCACTCTGACTCCTGTACCAGTTGCTGATACAAAGAGAAATGATAATGTAATTTGAATAAAAGCCAAACATGCTTTGGGAAACTCAGACACCCAGAATCAGTCAATAGAAGTGGAACAAATTCTGAATGCTTCCATAGTTTAAGAATAAGGCAGTATCTACATGGTTTTTTAAGTGAGCTAAATCACCACTACCTAGTTTATTAAAATCAAATTTACTTTCAGAGTTTGGGGAAGGGGGCAATGATTCATAGACACATAACAAATACCAGATTCTGCTATACAGTCCTGTCTCTGCTTTTCTTTTTTGTTTTTTAATTTTTAATAGTACATACAAAGAAGAAAGAAGACAAGGACTTATCAACTGCCCCTGGACTCTACCAATGCACTTAAATATTATTTGTGAACTCTAGAATATTAAACTATTTGAAATTTTGTTGGAACTTCTTACACAATCATCATAAATCACCCAATACACATAAATACATTAGAAAAGAGATTAACTTTGTATGTGAAAAATTAAGTAAAATTTATAGAGGACTCTGTCCTGTTCTGCTGCCAGTGGGTGGCCTAGGGATTTATTCTATAGGATTGGTTTAGTATGACCCATCCTGAGCTGCACTGAGCTGGGCTACAGAAGAAATGTGAATGCAGTCTCTACTATCCAGGCCTCCCTCATGAGCAGACACAAGACTGCTTCCTCAGATGGGTGAGCGTAAGCCCGACCACATGTCACCATTTCTCATTTGATCCCCAGGCATTTTTGTCACCAGCCCTTTAACCTCTGGTTCTAATACTACTGTATAATTCTTTCACCTTAACGACCTTCCCACCTCTATCTACCTACAGCCTCTAAGTGACCTTTAGGTCTCTTGTTCCATGTTAAACAATTTCTTCTTAATTCTCTGCTTCCATTCACAGAATCTGCTTCACTGGCTTTGCCCCAACTGGTGCTGTGCCCAATGCATGACTTCCTCAGAGCCCTTTCCAGAAGACAGTGTGCTCATGCTCCAGGGCCTGCAGGGCCCAGTTAGGATAGCATGTGATGAGAAAGAGATGCCCCATCCATGAGTCCTCCACCCCGTAGACCTACTCCACTGGGTTACACACCCTCCCTGGGGCTGCCTCTATTAACCTCTCCATCCGTCACTCCCACCCCCCCTGCCTACGCTCCTTTGGCCTCGTGATGAATGACTTCAATGTCATTGTGACCCAACACCTTAGCTTGGCAGTTCCTTGCCATTTTTGCCTTGAGCCACCCCATCCATGTAACACCCTAGATTTTGTATTTACCTGAAATTCCTAATCCTGGATCCCACTCTTTGAGCTCTTTTAAAAATTTCATCACTTCAACTATACCTATTCTTTGACCATTTGAAGACATTTGACTTTTCACTTTTACTTTCATTCTCCTCTTATTTTACTTCTTTTCATATCCAACCTAGACCACAGGGTTATCATTTCAATTCCCTTTGCCAACTACCCACATTCCCTGATCCCTTGTCTCTCCACTCCACCAGCTTGAAAAACCTCTGAAGCTGGATCAGTCTAAACGTTGCCTTTCTCCCCTTTCTGTTAGGCCTAAAGAAGGCACAGACCTGTCTAAATTGGCATCACTAGAAATGTGTCACCTCAAAATTCAGCTAGATCTTCGGTGTTCTACTCAATGCATCTTTAATTAGCTTTTTTGCATTCTCCACACCACCCATTTCCTCCCTTCTCTCTCCTCACGTTTCCCACTTTATTGTCTCATCATCAGGCTGGACATAGACCTTGTTTCCTACGTCACAGGACAGACAGAAAGCACTTGACTGGGAATCCCCCGGCATCCCATCCCGGCATGAGCAGTTCACCTGCAAATATTACCATCACCCAAGTTTTCCCTCTGTTTCAATGACAACGCACCCTTTGTACACTGGATTTGCAGCAAAATTACACCCATTTTTCAGGTGTCAGGCTGGATATAATTTCCTCATGAGACTCTGTCACTGGTTCTCCACAGCATAAAAATCTTACTGTTTACTGTCTTTCTTTCTTGCTAATCTATAAGCTCCATATACGATGCAGCAACTAGGCGGTAGCACATCACAGAGACTCTGCTCAAGTTTATTACTAATGATATTTTGTTACAGCCAATAAGCATCCATACGAAGAGGAGAATCCATACGTGACTCTTTAAAAGTTTCTTGATACCCACACAGATGTTTACATTCAATAGGTGTATGTCATCAATTCTTTTTCTGAAAAGTTTATGTGTGGATGGATTGAATTTTTATTGGCCAAAGTTTTAAATGCACGGGGAGAACGGGTAGCCAAAGGAACTCAATTATATGGCAAACTGATGTTTTGCAATAAAAAATGCTTTCATAATGAAAATAATCAATTGTGATTTCTCTGTTTTTTCACTCTACTTCTTCTTATACTGGATTTCCTGGAGTGTTGCTGTCTGTGTAAACCTCACTTAAAAGATAAATGGGTTTCTAAAGAGTTATATGTCAATCAATTTTGCCCTAAAGATGTAACCATTGAATTCTGAGATATATTTTAGAAATAATTTTTCACAATGGAAAGACTGGTTTCTGGAAGTCATTAAAATATTTAAGAATCAATTATTAACAAACTTACACAATTAATAACAAGTACTATTCCAAAACGCTGTAGGTAGGTACTCGAAGATGCTAATTAAATCACTAAACCTACCTGCCCCTGCCTGGTATCTTTATGCAGGTTGTAACACCTCAGTTTCTTGTAGAGGAATCATTGTATTATCTCTTCCTACATCCCTCCAGCCCCTACTTTGGTACCGTTGAGCTGACTCGCTTTTTTACAATCTTCTCGGTCTGTGCTTGCCTATACCTAGCAGGAAACAGACTAAGGCAACATGAGAAAGGGAGAGAAAATGAGGGGCAGCCAGGAAAACAGCAAGACCCCAAGAGTAAGACCCTGGGAGAAGGGTTACCTTGGCAACGCGGCCCACTGTGGGGAAGATTCCTCAGGCCCATGGGGAGAGGAAATGAATCAGGCAACGTGGAGACCAAGGGAAACACCAGGGAAGCACACAATGAATCAGCTTTGCTCGAAATCAAGTCATTAATAAAGTGCAATTAATTTTCTTCTTTATAAAAGGCACTCTCCGAGGTTCACATGGTGGGCACGCCCGGGAGAAGCTTACCTCTGCGAGATAGAACTCATCATACTGGCCTCGGAAGCTCTCGCCTTTGTGGTAGTTGCTCGCTGCCACAATCACGTCCACTGTCACCATGCTCAGGATGAACATGTGGAAAACTGAAGATCGCATCATTTGCTGAGGAGGCAAAACAGACAAACGCTTACCAAAGAAATAAACCTCACGATTAAACGTGATTGGTGTGCTTAGACCTTGACCTGCAACATCTTTGTGACACGGAGCTGTGCAAAACAGTGCTCCTGAGACAAGTTGGGAGGTAACTGTAAGTGGATGTCACTTACTTCAATAGCGCAAGCAAAGGAATCCTTTCCTTTGGAAGGCTAAAATAGTGACTATACAGTTTCAGAGACCTTAGGTTAAAAACGGAAAATACATCTCATTTAATATGTGTCTATCTCAATTTTCACCAGTTAGTTAGGCAGCTTTATCCTTAATATTAACTGAACAGATAAATGATTTTTCAAAAGCAGATACACAAAATAAGTATTGCTTTATTCTGTTAAGAGAGAAGGCCAGTGTGGATGAAAATATTTTAGAGATGATCATAGAACTGGAAAAGTGAGAGAAACCTAAGATCTATTTATTTTTTACTTAATTACTTATAATAATCTTTAAACATTTCTTTAACCCACTTTATTGAAGTATGATTGATAAAAAAACTGTATATATTGCATGTCTACAACTTAAAGAGTTTGGGGTAAGTATATACCTATAAAACAAACCATCACCACCATCAGGGCCATAAATACACCCTCCCATCTCCTTTATTATTTTGGGGGGATGCATGTGTGGTAAGAACACCCAACATCGGATCTAGCCTCTTTGCACATTTTAAGTATACAAGAGAGTATTGTTAGCTACTCTGCTGTATAAATCTCCAGAATTTATTTATCTTGCATTACTTAAACTTTATACCCTTTGCATAAATAATTTATTGGAAATTACACTACAACTAATAATAACTCATGTTTATATTTACTATGTTCCTGGAGCTGTTGCAGGTGCTTTACATAAATTAATGGTTCATTTAATGTCAGCCCTAAAAAGTCACTCATATTTTATAGAGGAGGAAACTAAGGCTCAGAGAAGTTAAATAAGTTTCCCAATGTCACATAAGTACTGACGGGGGAGCCATAATTTGGACCCAAGTCCAGTCCAAGTCTACCGCCTACTCTGAGATGAAATAACTAGGGGTTCAAAAATATAATGTCTACCATGTACTGAATGCATACTTTGTTCCAGGCCATACTATGGGTATGGCATCTCTTTTCATCACCTGCATAGTCCTACACAGTGGGATATTTACTCACTTCCTCCAGTGAGTTCAGAGATATGAAGTCATTTGTCCAAGGTCACACAGCAAATCCACAGAAGAATGGGTTTCATAACCCAAGTCAGTTTAAAGTCCCTTCTGGGACTCACTGTCCACAGTGGGATAGAGAATGTAAGTAAAAGGAGAGAATAGAGGGTGAAAGTCCAGGGCAGCAGAAGGAGAGAGAAGCTGACCTGTGGAAGGTAGGTGAGCACATACAAACCATTGAGTCACTTATCTTGATGCCACTGCCTAGGGACTAACACCACCAGACCACCCCTTTCTGAGACCTTGGCTCTTCTTAAGGGCACGCATCCTTACCATTTGATCTAGCCTGATAATTCTTCAGTATTTGCAAGTAAAAGAACTTAGACAAAGCGGCAAGGGAAAGTAAGAATGGGAAAGGGCAGAAGGCCTGCCTCTGAGCCTTGCCGCCACCTCTGGGCACCCACATCCATGATTTCACATGGCCCCCAACACCCTGCAGCTGGCATCAACAGCACGTGCTCAGAGTCAAACTGCACGGAGCCGAAACGCCACCGCTCAAGAGGCCTGTGGCTCTGGGCAGGTCACTTAAACCTCTCTGTGCCTCCATTTCCTCATCAGCAAAGGGGAGACAATAATGGCTAAAGGTAGTTATCAATTTTAAATGAGTCAATATTTGTAAAGTGCCTAGAGCAGTGGCTTCATATTATAAGTGTTCTATAAAGATTTGCAGCAAAAATGAATTCAATTCCGTCAATCAGGTATTTCTCTGTTCAGGAATGGGAAATTAACTGCTCAAGGTCCAAGAGTTAATTATGCTGCATATATTTGACTCAGTCCAGAACCAAAGGAGATGAATAAAAGTGACAAGGGGCTAATAATTTGAGAACTATCAGAGCTATTGGAAAAGCAGAAATTGCTTTAAGTAAGATTTCATGTCATCATTGGTGGCTATTTATGCATTCTTACATCCATGTGCTTTTGACTTTTATAGGTATACAAAACCAAATTCCAGAACTGCCAATCAACATATTTAAATGCACATCCATTTACTTGCAGGAACTACTGACCTTCACAACCTAGATAAGCAAATCAGTTGGCAAGTTTATACTCTCATTAGAATTTTTAGTTATTTAGTCTTTCTTGCATGTAAGATTTAAATTCCATAACTATTATTCCTTTTTCACACTCTTTTAAAGTTCCCTTTGATTCATCATAATGTTCTATTAAAAACATTTCCACTGATTTCCACTTTATCTGCATGACAGAAGAGCCACAACTTCCTTTCTCTTTTCTTTAGCTGTGGATGTATGTCTTAAGTAAACTGTTATTACTGAAAGGTCCAAACAAAGCTTTTAGCTATGGCTGTCAAAAAACTTTTAAGTTGGCTTTCTAACTGTCACAGCTTCACTTTGGTGCTGTCATTATAATTAGGTTGCTTTTTGTCTGAATGTCTTTATGTCCCTGTTGGTACAGAGTCATTAAAATGCTCACTTACAATGGATTTTGATACACTATTATCACCAGTGCTTAGCTTTCTCCCAAGTAGTAACTTTCAAATATTAAATAAGAATTGAGGTGATAAGTATATGCAGGAGCTAAATTTAAATAGTAAAACCAGTAACTAGATTTAAAGTCAGAGCTAGTGACATAAGCCACTTCAACTCAGTTCAATTCAACCAGTGTTTGAAACTGGCTATAGGGTTCCTTAACACTGAAGGGCAGGCAACTTATTCAAACTCATGTTTCTATTTATAGGATGGTCCAAATTTATACCCTTAACTTTCAATTTTTTTAATAAAAATGTGAAGAAAAAACGTTAAAGTTGAGTCAATGCCACAAAATATTATATAACTTGAGATTGTCAACTGTATTAATGTGGATGTAGAATATAGTTAGCTAGCTACATATAAACACATACACATATATATCTGTATATATGTGTATGTGGGTATATATATGCTTATATACATATACATATATATTCTATATATTTTTATAGAGAGAGTTAATATAAGACTGTTCAGATCCTGCATACATATTCAGTTTTTTAAAGTTCCCTTCAATTGCAATGTCATTTTGGTTTATATGCTTAAAAAAATCAGACAAGTTTTGCACATATTTTTAGTTTGACTTCGATCCAAGAACTACTGATTTCTGTATGTGACAGTTGGAGTTACCAAAATACAAAGAGACTACACCAGAGTCATCCCCAAGGCAGCAATCTGTCAGAAAAGCTCAGGAACCTTACTACTCAAAGTGTGGTCCCTGGCCTTGCAGCTTCCTGGGAACATATTAGAAATGCAGGTTCTCAGACTCCCTCCCAGACCCACTGAATCAGAATCTGCATCTTTAACAAAGTCCCAGATGATTAATGTTCATCTTCAAGTTTGAGCAGTTCTGCTGTGCAGGATACTCCTTGAAGAGCAGGTTCAACTGGGCGGCCTATGAATTTTTTACAAATTCACAATTTCATGATTCCCAAAGTCTTTATCACTGAACGGAACAGACAAGTCCTGGCTGGAATATTGTGGTGGTTTATTAGGATTTAGCATCCAAACATGCATGCCTTCTTACCCTCCTTTTCCAACTCCACAACAACAAATTAACTAAACCAGTTTGGCTGCATGAAGACAAAAGTATGTGTTGATTCTTCAACCGTTTGTGGGTATTACGAAGACACCAGCACAACCTCTGTCATAAAGTCTAGGAATGCACGGGGCTCTAGAATCTGGGAAAGGCAAGGAAACATTTTCTTCCCCAGAATCCTCAGAAGTAACACAGCCTTGTGGACACCTTGACTTTGAAGCTGAGGCGGGGCAGGGACACGGAACAAGCATCATGGTTAACTTTTCCTGCCTAGGATGAAAAATGCTGAGATATAAACAGTATAGTAAGAACAGAAGGGACCCCATCTTCAGGCCAAGATTCCATTTTAAAAATCAGAGAGTTGAGAAGTAAGATTCCTAACATATTCTCTGGTAATCAGATAATAACCCAACAGCCTACCTTAAGGCAGGGCAGGCAGTCTTAACTGGTATGTACCCACTGCTTGAGGGTGACCACTATCTTGGAGAAGAACAGGATAAATAAATCCCTTGTTGGGTTTATTTAGCAGAATTAGCTGGAGGACTGATAATAAAGGAAAGGAAACATGGTGTCTCTCACCAGAGACAAGCCCCTTGAGACCACGAGTCAAGCCTATGCCTTTTTCCCCGTTCTTGAAAGCGTTGAAAGACAGAATCCCCAAACTTTCAGTGCGCCTCCTGAGGACGCCTGCACTTTCCTTTCTTTAAGTGCGTACTTTCAAATAAAGCTTTCTCATTGCTCAAATTACCGTGGCTTGTCTCTTTGCTATTTTATTTTATTTCCAAGGCTTCACTCTGTCTCCACTTTTCTCCTAGTAAGTAGGAAGGGGCTGCTAAGAGCTCACGTTTGACCTGCGTGTGTCGGTCACCTGGGTGACCCAGACGAAACTGCAACTGTATGATCTGCTCTTAGAAGCCTGACTGAAAATCTCCTTTCTTTGAGAAGTTCTCAGAACATAATCTCATCCATCCTGTGCTCTGTGGCTCCCCAGAACCTGGAGAGATAGGGGCTAGTCCCCATGCCATGCAGACCCAAGTGGACACAGGTGACTCTGGCTTCAGGAGTCTGCAAGGGAATCTGCCCGAGGCCGAGAACTTTCCCTCTTTCCCTTGAACTTCCCTGTTCTCTGCTGCCTGCAAGCCAGCCGCCATTCCCTGCTGCTGTCACTGCAGTGAATTCCTTCTTTACCTACACTCTTCTGACTTTCTCGAGAATTCTTTCTCATTCAGTC